CATCGCCGTCGCGTGTTCAATTAAGTTAACTACGTAGGAGTATATATAAAATCTCTTTTCCAACGTCGGTGCTCGCTAGCAGCTGTGCTAGGTTGGGTTCCGTCACACTCCAACGGCCCAACCTTCCTTTGCCGCTCCATTTTCGTCTCCCGCTGATAGCCACTTAGTAAGAATTAGTAGCCTTTCATCCCCGGCTAATAGTCAGCTAACTGTTAGCTCCCCAATACACATTTCTCTTTTTTTCTTTCCCCAATACATCTTTATCTCTACTTCTTGAGAGGCATTTTGGTATTTTTAGCTTCAGCATTGATTTCAATAAGAGTTTCTAAAACACCTAACTTGAGGAGTACTAATCAAATGGATCGGACTAAAGACTAACTCAAGGCGTGGTTCAAATTGGTCTATATGTTTGAATATACTAGAACTAATTTCCAAGTTATTAGTATAGTTTTATCAAATGGATCTAGCTGATTATGGAGTCATAAAGACTAACCCAATTCATAGTACTTACAACATGCATGTACCAGGTAGTTAGTACTATACAATATACTATACTACTAGATAATAAGGAGTATAAAATATGAGTGCCAACCGGCGTTCGGGTTACCCTATTTTTCCGAGTCGGGTAATTCAAAATTCGGGTAATGAAAAATGCTACCCGATATTAGTCCTGAAAAAACACTACCCGTAATTTCGGGTACCCGATAATTCGGGTTTGGGTTCAGGTTCGGGTTTGGGTATTCCCGATATACCTGAATTTAAAAAAAACAGCAAACTACACAAATATTCAGTAGCAATTTATATATAATTTCAGTAGCAATTTATATATAATTTCAATAGCATTTTGTAGAGAATAATGTATTAAAGTCGCTTGTTCAAACAGAGAGAATTATATTCTAATAAAGTGATAAGTTCTAAGTGTTCAACTAACAACACATGATAAATACAAAGACAGAGACAAATGTTTGGGTAGTTCGGATAATTTGGGTACCCGGGGATATTACTCGAATTACCCAAACTAATTTCAGGTAATCAAAATCGCTATCCGAATTTTAGTACCTCGGGTTTGGGTAGTTCGGGTAATTTGGGTACCGGGGGATATTATCCGAATTACCCAAACTAATTTTGAGTAATCAAAATCGCTATCCGAATTTTAGATCGGTACCTCGGGTTCAGATAATTCGGGTCTAGGTTCAGGTAATTCGGATATGGGTAACGAGTATCGGGTGTTTTGCCCTGGCTTAGCCAACCCGTACTCCATCTCATGAGCACCTCATGTGCGCTCTCGCGAGCCGCTGAGCCTGAAACGAGTGCGGCTGACTGAGCACTAGCTGCTTTCGATTTGCGTGGCTTTTTGCCTTTTTCTCTTTTCTCCTCCGCTCTGCGCTGCGCCCCTCCCTCCCTTTGTTTCCTCTGAATCTGATCATCTCTGCTTGCCTGCTGCTTTATTTATTTGCTCTTCTTCTTTATTAGTAATGGAGAGAGTGATGGCTGACCTCCTGCTGCATTTCTTGCTTTATTACTCCACTCATTATACGTGTCCTTCCTCCCAGCAAACATTTGTTAGTTAGGATTTCCCGTCCTACCACCTTCGCCTCATGTACGTACGTGAGTCGTGACCACGGATTCTCTGAGCGCCAATTGCCCGCCTGCGTTTTCTAAGCCCTGCTGGTCAGCTCACACACACTGTGTTTTTTTTTCTTTTCTTTTTCAGGTGTAATAATGAACTATCCAATGTGCTTATTTGAGGTTCTCTAAATTAGGAGAATTAAGCTCCCATTCCCATAACCGTTCACATCACAATTAGAACTTTGCAGAGCAAATCAGAGTCTGCGCGCCCTTTATATTCCTCAAACTTCTACACAACTTTTTTTTAAGGAGATCTCTTCCATGATCCTCATCTAGAAATAAATCGCCATGTTCGTTTGAACTTATTCAGAACCACTTCAGCTATGGAACAGTGTTTTCCTCTCGCAACATTTCAGCATAAACATCAGCATAAATCAAATTTCAACATAAGCGAACAGGATGAATATGTGCAGTTTGGCCTTGACCAACAATTCTTGTTGAGTCAACAAACTAAACCCAAACATGCATTAAGCTGTGGTGACGTGTCCAATCCACCGCCCACCCTCCCTTTAATTTCCCACTTTTTATTCCACTACTAGGAGCAGCGCTATATATCCTGTAGTATTATTAGTTTATCTCAGCCTAATTATATATAGTAGCATCATGAGACACACATTGGGATCCATCATAAAGCCATCAGCCGTAGAGGATCTCTCCAGCCCCTTAACCCAACACACATGCATTGCCCTACAAAGATCGCCTTCCCCTGAGCCACTCATCATGACCATCATCACACTCTGTACGTTCTGTTTACTACCCCCTTTCTGATTAATTGCACCACACACTTAATTCAAAAAAGTTAGTAGTTTTAATTCAACAACCCCCCTTGCACTGGTAGTCATCACTACCTAATTACCCTAGCCACGCATCTGCTTGGCAATCTTGTGACGCTCAATTCAGAAGTCCGTGGAGGATCCAGAGAATCATCATCGTGCAGATGCAGCATCGACAGAATCACAGAAACTAAACGCGAGCCTTCTTCTCCTTCTGTTCTTGCGTGCTGCGATCTTGGCTGTGGTGCTGACGTGGGATGAACATGGATGAGAGAGATGATGCCACCTCAGCAGCAGCGTGCATGCATGCAAGAGGACAAGCCAGTCATTGGGCACTCGAGCACGGGCCGTCGCCCGGTCGCCGTATTGCAAACGCCAACTGCCCTTTCCGTTCCGTTGCCCATGTCTGCATCTGGTATCTATATATGCTCAGTCTCGGTCTCAGTCACTAGGCTTATTATTATATATATAAGTATACATGCTGCATGCTAACAAAACTCCTCGTCAAAACTGCATGATTAAGCGTAGGCTAGTCCTGATGGCTAATCTGTACTCACGTAGAGCTTTGTCAAACGCCAGTATCATTCCTTGCATGGCCTTTTTCTGGATCTCTTTTGGATGTATATATAAAATGTAGCATGATCTGTTCCCTCTCTTGATTTGCTGCTAGAGGAGTACTCCGTATAGAGTAGGTCATGGATCTAGAAGAAGGAAGGTGATACCTCATACTACCTTGGTGGTGATCTTATCTGCTGGTCGGGTGCTGGGTTTAGGCATATTCCAAGCTTTGGCCGGCAAGGCTTCCCTGTTCTCTTCTGTTCTGCTACATGCATGTTGTGTTGGAGAAGAGAAATCACCTTTTCTCCCAAGATTCCTCTCACATAATATATATATAATGGGTAAAAGTCGGTTGCTGTTGGACCCGTGGTTACTATACAAAGATAACAGTTGTTTGATTTTGCGGTGAAAAGCAGGGAAATGCAAATTTTGACACAAAGGCAGCCACTGGATTGATGAATTACTCGTACTAGTTATTACTACTCTAAAGAAATAGTAATAAACATAGAGTTTTTTTTCTTGATTTTTTTTTGAGCAAAAACAGAGGCCTTTCCTTGATCCATAGAAGGAAATCCAGATTACCACAGAGCAGCTAGTCAATGAGTCAATACAATTCAGTCAAGTAAAGTACTTTTTTTTCCTTTCCCAATTCCCGTGTGTAGTACACTCCCCTGTCCCCTCCCCTATTGCTGGCTGTTTCCTTGAATTTCCTGTGAACCAGCTCCAGCTGGCAGCAGTGTGAAGGGTTTGAAAAGACGCTCCCGGTACTCCACTGTAACTGAAAACCTCACAGTCATCACGGACCGCGTCGGTGCCTGCCGAGTTTCCTGCAGCCTGCATGGCGTCGCCCTTGGCCCTTGCTCCGTGGGTGTGGCCGACGAGGATTTGACGGGTGGAAAAACAGCCTTGGTTCCCGTTCCAGCCTTCCAGGTCACCTCCATCCCTCGCATGCCATGCAAATGCTGTGCAATGCAGGACGATGCAGTGCAGCAGAGGAAAGAAAGGCCGAAAGAGACGCCGAGACGGGCCCCAGGCTGTGACCCTGGTCAATCCGAAAGCTACCACTGCTCTGTAGCTGTGTAGCTGTACGCCTGTACTGCCTGCCCCCCACAATGGCAATTGCAATGCAAGCTGGGAGCCATGCCCATGGCCCCTCTCACAAGCCAAACCTCTTTCTCAGAGAGAGAGAGAGAGAAAGAGGGGCATTGCATTGCATGGTTGATTGTGGCAAGGGAGATTCTAATCCTAATCCTAATCCTACAGCGAGTGAGTAGATAAACAAATGAGAGAGAGAGACTACGACACCGAGAAGATTATGAGGGGGTGTCCCCATCCACATGCCTGTAATGTCGGTATGTAGATGAGGAGTATAAATAAACTCCCCGAGGGAGAGCGAGAGATTTCCCTCCAAAGGTGGAAGAAGCAAAACATCTCATTCCCAGGCCACCCCCTCCGGCCTCCCCCTCCACCTTTGTAGCTTTCCCATTCCCCTCTTGCGTGCAAGCATCTTCCCCCTAGCTCTCATGGTCTTGGAGCTCGTTGTTCTACCGCTGGCTGCCGCGTCAATCCATGTCTGTTCGTTTCTGTCGCGCGGTTGCTTGCCTTGCTTACCTTGCCGAGAGATCGTGATCGTGAGCGGCGTGTGACCCGGCCAGCCTTGGCGTCTTCCGGGGTTGGGGGCCGTTGCTGTTTATTCGTCCGTTGCCCATCAATGCACTCCTCCCTTGCCTCCCCTGCATGCAATCCGTGTGTACTCGCCGGCGTTGGTTTCGTGCGTCGCCTGCCTGTCTGTCGTCCTCACCGCAACGCCCTCCCCTCCCCGCCGCGCTCGCCACTAGCATTGCCTTCTCCTTCCGCTACAAGAATCTGACGAGCCCCTCCCGCGGTGTCCCCAGCTCCCTCCTTTCTCGACAGTGTTTTAGTCTGCGCATTGCTCTGCCCGAGGAGCAGCAGCGGCAGCTGCAGAGCCATTGCCGCGTTCGCTCGCGCCGCGGTTCATGCTCCAGGAGTCGGAGGCGGCTACCTAGCTAACGGCGGGGCATGCGTTTCATCACAGGTGGCGGTGGCGGTGGTGGCGGCGGAGGCGGGTCGGCGGCGCGGTCGTACGAGTCCATGTCCACGGCTGACACCACGGACCTGCGCTACTGGCTGCACTGGCGGGTGGGGCTGTGCGGCCTCTGGGTGCTCGCCTGCATGGCCGTCGCGGGCTACCTCATCTGGCGCCACGAGGGCGCCGGCGCCGACCGGCGCCCCGGCGGCGCGTCGTCGTCGTCGTCGGCCTCGTCGGGCCCCGCCGGCGGCGAGCTGCAGGGCGGCGGCAAGGGAGGCGCCCCTGGGGTGCTGTACGACGACGAGGCGTGGCGGCCGTGCCTCCGGGACATCCACCCGGCGTGGCTCCTCGCCTACAGGCTCATCTCCTTCTTCGTCCTCCTCAGCCTGCTCGTCGTCATTGTCATCTCCGATGGCGGCAGCATCTTCTACTACTACACTCAGTAAGTCACCGATTGCTTAATTTGCTACTAGTGTACTACTTACACTTCTTTCTTGTTTTCTCTCTCTCTGATTTCCTTTGCCTTTTTTTCTAATTTTGAAAACAAAGATTGTTGTGGATTAGATGCAAAGTTGATCCCTATTTTTAAAAATCATTTTGTTTGAAAAAGAAGAGAAGGAGGCGCATTGCCACTCAGCTGCTGCGGCTGATTAAGTCTTTTTATTTGCTGCTTGATTGAATTAGAAATCGGTCAGCAAGTTTGGCATTTGTTCTGTCCCCTTGTAATACTCTGAGTTTCCAGGGAATAAAGGGCTCTTTCCATGGAACAAACCTGTTTTAACATGGGGTCCTTTTTCAGTTGCAAGAACTGAACATGGTTCGAAACAATAATGGAGCCATCAGTCCGTCAGTTTGACAGCATTCTCTGTTATACTACTGTACAAAATTGATGGCTGCCAACAACTAGCTTACACAGCAAGCGACGCCCTCTTTCTCTGGGTTTACCGCGAGAGAAAAAACACTGTTCATTCAATGAAATAGTACGCTCATAAAATAAATTGTCTTCTTTTATTTACAAGTCACTATGTAGCCTTTTCCCACTTTTTTTAAAAACACTCTGAGATTGTGACTGGTTGGTAGCACCAAATTTTTATGAAAGATCTGGTTGCTGTTCAAGTGTTTCTGCTTTGTAACTCTGCTCTTGGAAATAGCACTTGTCCCCCCTGCCAGCTTCTTCTAACGGTTGTTGAACTGTCTGTCGTGCAGGTGGACCTTCATTCTGGTGACGATTTACTTCGGGGTAGGCCTTTTCTCTTTCATAATCACAGCCAAATAATTTATCTATGCACTGAGAATTCCTCAAGCCAATGATGCTTGCCAAAGACTTTGAAACAACCTGTTATCTGAAGAATAATTGTTCTGTGAATTGTTTCAGCTTGGCACAGCCCTGTCCATCTATGGCTGCAGCAAGTTCAATGATGAGAACATCGCCGCAGTGGCAGCAGACATGGAGCATGGCACGAGCTACATCCCTCATGGCTTGGCTGCTAAACCGACCTTCGATGAACACGATGGTGCTAGAGAGATTGCTGGGTTCTGGGGTTACCTGCTCCAGATCATCTATCAGGTAAAGAGGCCTCCACACCACCAAACACTTTGAAATATTATCCAGTTGGGGGACCTTTTTCATGTTTCTTATTGGAGAGAGACATCTGTATGGTGCACTGACATTTGCTGATTTGGTGTTGCATACATGGAGGGGTTCTCATTTTGCTTTTGAGGCGCAATTATGAGTGCGGGGTAGTTACCATGATGCGCTAACGACTGAATCAGTATGTTTATGGTGTGCTCATGGATCGGATTCTGTTTCTGAAGATCAGGTCAGATGTGCCCACATAGCATCTTTGTCTGGTCACACCTCCATCTCCATGGCACGTAGGTGCTCCTACATGAGCCAATTGCTAATGGTCCATGTCCAGGTGTTCAGTCTATATCTCTGCACACTGCACAACTCATGCATGTTTCCTTGCTTGCTTGAAGCCTGAAGGGCTGAGTCACCTTTCCCCATCTTTGTGAAGTGTAGGGCTGACTCTTTTGATCGTGGCATCAAGAATAAAGGCAGCCTGATTCCTTTGGATTGATTTGCTAGGCCTAACTGTATTAGCAATGGTGACTGAATGTCTGCCTAGTTTGGCATAGGACAGTCTGGAAATGTCACCTTTTGTTTTGTGAGAAGAATTAATAGATAACTAAGGAAGGGGGTGATGGCCTAGGAGAACTAGCTTCAGAATGAGCCACGTTGAAATTGGACTATACTGTTAGCTACATGTTACCATTCGATATTAAAGTTTATCATATCTTAGAACTATTTGTGATCTTTACAGCAGTACTGTAACTTTGTTTAGTATTTATCGACAGACAAATGCAGGTGCCGTGATGCTTACAGACTGTGTGTTTTGGTTCATCATTTTCCCATTCCTCACCGTGAAGGACTACAATCTCAACTTCGTAAGTAGACGTGTTTCGTGTCTTCCCCGTCATGGCATCTCACATTCTGACAAAGAAAAAAGAAAGTGCTGACTGTTTGCTGATTTCTCTTCTGGCAGTTGTTGATAGGAATGCATTCAGTGAATGCTGTTTTCTTGCTTGGTGAGGCAGCCCTGAATAGCTTGGTAAGCAGCACATAAGTGACTACTGAACTTGATGATCAGAAAAAAGAAGTTGATGAATGTTTTCACAGTTTACTCAACGCACTGCAAACTCTCATGGTTTTATTTACAGAGGTTCCCTTGGTTCCGGATCGCCTACTTCTTCCTTTGGACCGCGCTTTACGTCATTTTCCAATGGATTGTTCATGCAGCTACTCCAATCTGGTAAACCTTCCAGCCTAAATTTCATAAACAAAGTACTACCAATATACTAGCTGCATTTCATTTCATAGTGCTAAATTAACACCATGTGGCTTTTGGCAGGTGGCCTTACCCATTCCTTGACTTGACATCAAATTTGGCACCTTTGTGGTAATGCTACTTACCTCAGAACCAAGAACAAATCACCCACAAAATCTTTTCAAGTAATTAAGCAAACCGTGTTCATAATTAAATCTAACTGGTTCGTTCCCTACCAATCGGCATAGGTACCTCGCGGTGGCGGTGCTGCAACTGCCGTGCTACGTGGTGTTCAGGCTGGTGATCAAGCTGAAGCACCACCTGCTGGCCAAGTGGTTCCCGGTCTCGTAAGTAAGAGGCTAGCTAGGGCACAAGCCATGCCGTCTTCTCCGCCTCCATTGCAAGGGGTTCAGTTCTGCAATGGTGAAAGCAATGCAAGCTACAGAATAATGGCGGGGTCTGGGTTGTTCTATTATTTGGGGGAAGCGATTCTTGTGCAGGTGCCCTCTCCGAGCAAAGAATAGAGGGGAGTGGCACATGGATGCATGCGTGCGTGCGGTTTTTATAGGGGTATAAAACTATAGTTGGTTTTAAGAGTTTTTTCTTTTTGCCGTGGTGGAAAGTGAACAGAAAAGAGATCGAGGGCAGCAGGAAATGGCTGTGTATAGGTTGACTGATTGGATGAAATGGAGATTGATACTATTCCTTGACATCTTTTGTAGAGCTGACTGACTGGTCGCTATATTACATACAGTGTTGTCGCGTTTGCAAATTTTGTTGTTCTCCAATTGCTTTAACGTGCCCAGGTGCTGAGGAGAGGCGGAGTATTAGCAAGGGAGCTGTTTTGATTGGAAACAAAATTTTCCTGTTACTTCTCCACTACAACGATGTTTTTTTTAAAAATATATATATAAAAATAAAAGAAAAACAAAGCAAAAAAGAACAAAATGAAATTAATAAAGATGGAACAAAAAATAAATGGAAGTTTAAATAAAACAAAAAAAAGATCAAAGTAAAACGAAAAAGTGGATAGAGTTCTTGGAATTGGGCTAAGCCCTAAGCTTATATGTATTATTAAGTGGGAAAAAGTCAATTTTACCTCTGAACTATCCTCGAAGTTTAGTTTTCCTCCCTGAACTCGAAAACCGGGTAAACCACGTCACTCAACTTTTAAAACCGTTCATTTTTCCTCCTTGACCCGGTTATAGGTGGTTTTCAAAGGTGGTTTTGTCTTTTTCTTTCTTTTTATTTATTTTGGCTGAATATTTAAAAAATCATAGTAAATCACAGAAAAATCATAAAATGAAAAATCCAATTTTGTTAGAGTCCACATGAGTATATCTACATAGTAAATATATAATATGGTATGCTTTAGTACAAAATTTTTGCTATAACTTTAAATCTATGCTTTTCTGTAATTAATTCATAGCTGTAGTTTCTATGGTCTAATTGTGGTGAAATTTTTATGGTGGTCTAATTATTGTATGCTTTAATTGTAGTAAAAATTTCATACTCGTTTATATTTTTATACACTTTTAACTATTTTAAAACTATTTAACAAGCATAAAACTAAATAAATCTGTAACTCAGTTATACATGATCCAATGAGCATGAAATTTTTACTACAGTTTAATCACATAATAATTACCCCACCATAAAAATTTCACCACAATTGCACCGTAGAAATGTAGCTTGGAATTAATTATAGAAAAGCATAGATCTAAAGTTACAGCAAAAAACTTTGTACTAAACCATACCATATTATATCTTCACTGTGTAGATCTAGTCATGTGGAGTCTAAGAAAATCAGATTTTCCATTTTATGATTTTTTTTGTGATTTTTTAAAAATTCAGCCAAAATAAATAAAAAAGGAAAAGACAAAACCGCCTTTAAAAACCACCTATAACCTGGTCAGAGAGGTAAAATGAACGGTTTTAAAAGTTGAGAGAGGTGATTTATCCAGTTTCGAGTTCAGGAAAACTTTCAGGAGGTAAAATGGACTTTTAAGTGTGCTTCTCATCCACCGTGAGCAGGTATATCGACCAGTTCGATGGGAAGAATAGGAACACGATTTGGCCCAACAGCCTGTCGGGAACAGTCGCGGCGGCCCGGCCGGCCTGCTATATCCCTGGGAACGTGCGGTCTGCCAGCTATGATCCGGGCCGATGGCGCCAACCCATACGCGATCATCCGATGTTGGGCCGTACCTTAACGGGCCCGTGCCAAGCCGTACCGTGCCTTAAGGGGCCCATTCGGCCTTCTATAGACGCATGTGGTACAACACGCTTGGCGACAGCAGCATGCGTGTGCACGCCCGTATCAGCTCAGCGGCAACATATATTCATATAAATATTATAGGGCAGTACATATATGTAATTAGGTATACAAGTATGCATGATTATTTACGCAACACGTACACTTATAGTAGTAGGGGTATGTAAGTTACTCCGGTGTGTGTGTGCATGCACTGCATACATATTAACATATACATGCCTGCGATATACATACGTGCGTAGGTATCAGTCTCGATCGATCAGTCCTCGACGTACGGCGCTAGCTGCATGTGAAGCCTTTGGGCGCACTCATCGCCCCCACTGTCTGGAGCAGTGCCACGACGAAGGCGGTGATCGGATCTCCACCGATTTCATGAATTCATGGCCTATATTGGACACGGCTTGACGACGACATAGCACACACACTGGGCGCCTCTGAGCGAGCCCAGGCTGCCGAGTGCTGCCTTGATCTGTGAGAGCTGATCGGGACTGAGGCCACATCTAATTGGGTTATCTTATCAAGAATTGCGGGGCATGGGCTGGTGCTAGACGACGACGGTCCCGGCGCCGGAGCCGGTGCCTGCGCCAGCGCGGAAGGCGCCGTGAGCAGGAGAATCATCATGGCGAGGACGGCAACAGCAGCAGCAGCCGACAATCTGGCAACCATTTTTGCTCGCTACGATGTAATATTAATATTGCTGTTCGATCAGCTCAGCTCAGTTCAGTTACACTCTGCGGCGGCCGTGGCTTGAAGCTGTCACCATCGCCCACTCCGGAAGTCCGGATGCTGTATTTATAGGCCGCGGTCACTCGGCCGGATGCATTTCGAGCTGTAGATTCGATTCATTCCGATCCTGCAATAAGTTTCTTCAGACGGCAAACTGCAAGCCCCTTTGTCAACTGTCATCGATCTCTCCGGCGACTACTTCAGTTGTCGCAACCTTTACCAACGTTTGGCGATTATATTACTTGATGTGCAGGTGTTGTCTACGTAGCAAATGTGGAGCCTGCTCGCCCTTGTGTTCCCTCTTTATTTCTTGGCGCTGCAAACTGACGGGACATGTTTTTTCTGCTACGTTACGTACACATGCATAAAGCTTTAGAGATCTTAGGATTTTATTGCCAGCCGCGCATTATATTTAATTTTTCCTTTCGGTTATGAAATCTGAAGCCAGTGTACGTGGGTCGTCCATTTTTTTTTTGTGATTTTAATTTCTGAAGTCTCTCCCGAGATCAGAGAATATATACTCTGTGTGGTCGAGCTAGACGGATCATGCAGTGCAGCAAGCTAGATTTTAATGCGGAGCATTTTGTTTTTTTTATGTGAGGAAAGAGTGCATTTCAATAATTAGATAATAAGATATTACAAACATTGTTTTCATTTCTTTTTTTTAAAAATAGAATAGTTACAGTCTCTGCGACTATAGACAACCAACTTACATAGTTTTCAGCTCATGGGCAAATAATCACAAAATAAGGAAAAGTAGAACACACATCTTTAGCTACAATAAAAAAGATTGTAAGACAATCGTCCAAGGAAGAATAACAAATGGATCTGCGATCACACCCCCGCCCCAAGGATCTTTCCTCTTCCACGGCATTTGTTTTTTTTTTCTGGGAAAAACTGCACACCACGCACTCCCCAACCGAGCGAGCGGTTTTCTCTCCACAAAGTTTATTACGTGACCCGTCGCGCGCAACGCGGACGGCGCATCCCCCGCGGCCCAAGAGCCCATTACCTACCATCGGCATCGGAGAGTAGGGGGAGCTCGTCAGCGTTAGGGTTTGGGGCTTGGGGGATCCAATCACCGGCGGCTTTAGAAGTGTATTTGGGGGCGGCGGGCGTGACACGGTGGTGGTGGTAGGCGAAACGGCGGTGGGGGCGTGGCCTGCCGGGGTGGTTGGGCGGGGTTGGTGGCGGGGGCGTCGTGGCGGAGTCGTCGACGAGCTGCCCTGTGATTAGGGGAGGGCGGGGGCGGGTGGCGTGGCAAGGCGACAGGAGCTGCGGTTGGTGGATGCGTGAGGGTGGGATGGCGGAGGAGGGGTGCCAGAGGGGGTGTGGCAGATGCGAAGAGGAGGACAGCGAGCAGGAAGACATGTCGCGCGCTTCCTAAATGGACGACTCGTCGTGTGATAACACGCTCCTTTTCTCTCCCACCCTAGCATCCCACGGTTTCTCTTCCCCAAAGGAACACCTCCACCTGTTTTCCACCCATATACATCCCCCATAAGGTTTTCTCCTTTCATTTTCACACTAAATTCTACTATCAACGCTCTTGTTCCTTGGCCATCAGGCACAAACCGCCATCGCCTCCCCACAGCGAGCACCATGTGGATTTGCGTGAGCAGGTGGCATGGGGCCAGTGCATCGTTGAACTGCGGCATTATGAGGAGGTTGGTAGAGGCGAACACTAATGTCGCTTAGGGCTAAGGACCGGGTTGGGTCTATGGTAGTGCTGGCAGCTAAGACGTGCAATACTATGGTGACAGACATTGGTGGCTGGTTAGCTGGGGGCGGCAGAACATGGTGGCCGTTGTCATTGACGTCGATCTGTCGTGCTCCAGTTTAGGAGTGCGGAGCAGTGGTGTTTGTAGAGCGGCTCGGGCCACCGCTGCTTGGAGTATAGAATGATGGCCATTGGGGTTTCAGGGTAGGACATGAGAGGAAGCCGGCGGGCGCTGGATGGGAGGCGAGATGGATTGGTGCAGGGTGAGAGAAACAACAAGATTTGGGGTGGGAGATGTGGAGAGACCAAGATAAGAGAGATAGGGGCTCAAGTTTATTGGCTGAGGTGGTCCTGTTAAACGGGGTCCATCTCTTAACTAGCTCGTATTCATTTTCAGACGGACCTCTTCTTTGAATTTGCGTGGTATTTATTGGGCTGTCTCCAATCGGTGAGCCAACTATCTCTGAAATTCACTAGGTATTTTTGGTTTGCGCCGCCTATCTATATCTCTTATAAAGCTAATCCCCGCTATAGATTCTATCTTATCCCACATCGATCCATGTCATCACAAGGACTCCACCAAATCACTAAGCACAAACATTAAACTGCATTTTCACCAAAATACACTTA